ATCTTAGTGTATATTGAAAAATGCAAAATTGCTGAATTAGGAAAATGAATTCTTTTATTTTACTAACAAGCTCAACGCCAACGTACACACCAAAAACCTTGCTATCGCCATTATGAAGACGTCACTTCAGACTAAACCTTGAAGGTTCATAAAAGTTCACTCCAAAAATTTGCATGCACAAACAAAATTTATAAAACCATTACATATTTTTTTTGTACGCGTTTATTATCATTTGGTTTTGACTGGCAAGATAAAACGCGACCTTCAATTCTGTAATGCTCCATAGGCCATTTTGACACCACATAAAACATAAAAAGCGAAAAAACACATTACCTTATAAGACTAACTATAAAATATCACCTAAATATTTTCTGTTCATCGCATAGAAATACGCCGAATAATAAATTTGATTATAGATTGTAGCGATCTAAAGATATAAAAGCAATAACTCCGAACCTACCTACAGCTAGACGCACCATTTTCTTGCCCTGACAGCGGATCGAGAGCGGAAAGGCGAACTAGTTCCAGTGGTACTTCGCATCACAGCTTAACCTGAGAGCGCGCATGAGCGTTTCAACGCCCTAGCTCCTTACACCCTTGTGTAAACAAGACTGATCCGTGAAAATTTTTATCCGTTTAAGATTTGTCCGGACAATCGACTCTTGTAAAAGGGGTCTAGAAAATAGGGTCTAGTGCCGCTTTTTTTGATTTACTGTGGTTTAAAGCCTCACAATGAGATCAGATTGGCTGGCTGAGGCCACACTCACTTATATGCACAAGTTGCAAATAGAATCTAATTAAAGCTTCGATTGATATATTATATTATTTTAATTACTTAGATTTCGAAAATATAAACACAGCATTCTGCAGTAAAAAAAAAAGAAAACAATTATCAGCAAACTATTTAGTACAGTATATGCTGCCGATTGTTTCAGACAAATCAGTTTTGTACTAAACGAAGTTAAGGAACAACAACCTAACATTGATTTAATGCATGGGATAAATGCACCTGATGCGTACATATTGGCTTGGCAACAATGTGTCAGCTCAATTTAAATGAGACTGGCCTGTATGTCTTTCTTTGTAATGATATCTTTTCCCTTTGTCTTCAGCCAACCGGAAGTTTACGTCCGTTTTCTTATTGCTGGGGGTACTCATATCTTTCAGGTGAGCTTCAGTTGATTCCGCTATTATCCTTTTTCCCTGTTATAGGTTAACAAATAATAATAAATTCATATAAAGTGTACTCACTATCTCTTTTCTCATTGGCTGACAGACTAAAGTTAATTGATTTTGGAAATCAGCGCAACCTACAGATTAGTTAGTTATCTGCTATCAGATTTTTGACTAAAGCTACGTGAAAACGGACGCAACAAGTCCCAACATTGTTGCGCTAAACGTTTGATCAATTTCAAACTTTGCGCAACAGCTCGATCCCAACAACACGACAGAACATGCAACAGGGTGTGCAAACATACGCAACATGTAACATCCAAAAATGTTGCGCCCGTTTGCACGGGGCTTAATCTGTAGGTTGCGCGCACAACGCTTAATTTCTAAGAGCGATGTCAAACTATGTTCCATGCGATGCTGTCTTTGTCCTTATTTTCTTCAAACCAATGTCAGCCTAGGCCTTCGGCTTGGCTGATAACACCTACCTTGACCTTGATTATTCCGGATATCACCAAAGCTCATCCAATAATTGTTTAAGATAGGTAAAGAAATGAGATTAAATTCTTTCTCTTTCAGTACCAGCTTTACTATCTGGGAGTGAGTTATTCCCCTGACGGACGGGCATCAAGCAAGTCATCCAATTTTGTGTGAAAAAAGTATCTTTTTTAGGCCTTTTGTTAAGGTTACACTATCTTTTATTTAATTTTCGTATTTCGCATCACACCATTTTGTAAAGATTAGCGAATAGTTCTTTATTTGTAGTCATGCTAAAATTCCACATACATAATTCTTTGTACATTAGCATAGCTTTCCTCGCTCCATAAAAGAATTATGTCAACTTAACTTGTAAAAATGGCATTTTTGAGTCTGGATTTCGGCGTGGCATAATGGTTGGCAAGTTCATAAACGACCCACCTTTTACTTTACAGAACTCTTTTCAGAAATGTAATAGATCTATTAGGGGAAGTCTAAGGTTCGTCATTTTGCATGGCTTTTGTCCCGGCTAAGATTGCCCAGTTTTGAAAAACCTGTAGTTTCAGCTTTCGACGTTGGATATCTTAAGGACTTAAGACTGAAGCAGTTCCCTCTTAGACTTTTGTACATTATGCTTTTGTTTTGCCATTTAAATGCTCCTTCTTAATGCTTCATTTTTCCCAATAAAATGTTCGGTCCTCCTCAAAAAAGTTACTAAAATGCTTGGCTTATGTTCATTGTACACATTGTACAGAGGCTTTTTCTTTTAAATGATCCTAATGTTTTAACGGTCATGTTTATTTTATCTGGAAAAAAATGTATATTTTTCAGGAAAATGCCACTATTATGTTCGAATAATGTTTAATGCTTTTGCCTTTCTAAAATGCTCGAAAAAATGTCAGGGAAATGTACAAAAGCCTGGTCTCTCTGCATCTGGCGACATTGTTTTCTCTTACTTTTCTTTTCTTTTCTTTTTTTTTTTTTTACCGTGGTAGACGTTTTGCAACAATGCAACTCAATGTAAATTTTCTAAGGAAAGAAGAAATGCTTCCCACAAATGATTGATAGCCTGCGAGTGACTAATAAGCAACCTCGCCGGCCATCTTATACAGTGGAGCCTCGATATAACGAAGGGCCAGGGCACTGGTATAATTTGTTCGCCGTAACGAGGCCTATTCGTTATATCGAGGTTATTTTTCCGTATATTTTACCATTACTAGGGTGAGAAAAATTATTCATCATACCAAGGACTTCGTTATATAGAGGTTTTACAGTATATCAGCGATCAGTTTATGTCAGAAAATGTGTAACGAATAAATGTTGTTTGATTATTGAGTGTGAAAACTGTGTTTTGATTTGTTTAGAAATGAATTATCTAGATCGGTTGTTCGTTTTGTGAAAGAGAGATGCAGCAAGACGGCTAAAGCTGCAATTGTCATAGTTAACTTTAGTTGACAACAAAAAAAAAATATGGGTAAGGTTGACTTTCTAGTTGTGAAAAGTGAATGCTCTCCAAAGTTTGGACACCTATTTCCTTTCGTTAAACAGTACAGACTGCAATGAAGCCACTTATCCGATCAGCTTAGCAACTGTCATTTTGTTTTCAGTGTTTTGTTCTAAAGAAAACAATATGTGCAAACATTTATAGTGCAAAACATCCCTTCAGCTTAGATTACTTAGCTAGCTGGCCTATAAATTGTTATCTCTTTGATTTAATAAAATGTTTTGGAGTTTTGGTAATTGAATTGAAAGGATGGTATGGCTTACTGACACTGATGTAAGTGCAAAGTTATCATAAATCTGTTATATAGTTCAGTTCGTTGAAAAGGGATAATCGTTTTTCTTAGAGTTAGACTTTTAAAGTACGCTTATCAACATGAATCAAGATTCAAACGAAATGTAAGACAAGGAACAATTTTAATTTGGACGATAGATCATTAATGGATAGTTTACACTGAAGACAATGAAGGTTGTTATCCAGAGCAATAAGTGTGCATATGCCGTTGATGCTGAGTACATAGAAACACATTAATGAAATTAAACCAATGCACTGACGGCCACTGTAAGGGAGCAAATTAAGGTCAAGAGAAACCTCGCCTTATTCTTGTTGAACTTGTTCAAACTCTGCAGTATCGTTAATTTTTCATTGGAGTTCAAGGACTTATCTCCACCACTTAATTTGAAGACACAATCTCGTAAAAGAGAAAGAAAAAGGAAAACATTTTCAGAACATGACTGAGGGATCTATGTTCATGACATTTGTCAGTCTGTTACTCGGTACGGTTTGTTGATACGAAAAAAGTTCTTGCAGCAGATAGTCTTCATCAAATAGCAATTGTCATCAGTTTGGTTGTAATTTTGCTGGTTTTGGTATGTTTTTAGGCAGAGGTTCGGTTTTCTCTTCTTCGCAAAATGAGCGACATCTCTAGTAGCGCAACCTCGTCCCCAAGACTTCTCAGTTTCATAAGCCCCATTTACGCCACAGAAAAAAAAATGGGTCCGGACCCATAGAAAAGTTGGTACGGACCAGATATTTTTGCCGCGTAAACTTTCCGTACCACGTTTTCATGAAACGGATCCGGACTCGATTTTTTCTGGCTTTTTGGCCATAGGCCGGACTATGGCCCCAAAACCGAAAAAACAAAACGAGTCCGGACCCCTTTTGCTGTTCGAAAGCGCTGTTTAAACGCATCTTCGTTCTGTACCATGTTCTTCATGTGAGACTGCCGTGCTTTACGGTGGTTTCGCGCATGTGTACCATTGCCCTTTTAAATCATGAGCCTAACCTGATTGTTACCAGTGTAAACGGTTAAAAAAATGGTCAAGACCACTTTTTAATGGGTCCGGACCCTCAGCGCAACCTACAGATTAGTTAGTTATCTGCTATCAGATTTTTGACTAAAGCTACGTGAAAACGGACGCAACAAGTCCCAACATTGTTGCGCTAAACGTTTGATCAATTTCAAACTTTGCGCAACAGCTCCCAACAACACGACACAACATGCAACAGGGTGTGCAAACATACGCAACATGTAACCTCCAAAAATGTTGCGTCCGTTTCCACGGGGCTTAATCTGTAGGTTGCGCGCACAACGCTTAATTTCTTAGAGCGATGTCAAACTATGTTCCATGCCATGCTGTCTTTGCCCTTATTTTCTTCAAACCAATGTCAGCTTAGGCCTCCCGCTTGGCTGATAACACCTACCTTGACCTTGATTAATCCGGATATCACCAAAGCTCATCCAATAATGGTTTAAGATAGGTAAAGAAATGAGATTAAATTCTTTCTCTTTCAGTACCAGCTTTACTATCTGGGAGTGAGTCATTCCCCTGACGGACGGGCATCAAGCAAGTCATCCAATTTTGTGTGAAAAAAGTATCTTTTTGAGGCCTTTTGTTAAGGTTACACTATCCTTTATGTAATTTTCGTATATCGCATCACACCATTTTGTAAAGATTAGCGAATAGCTCTTTATTTGTAGTCATGCTAAAATTCCACATACATAATTCTTTGTACATTAACATAGTTTTCCTCGCTCCATAAAAGAATTATGTCAACTTAACTTGTAAAAATGGTATTTTTAAGTCTGGATTTCGGCGTGGCATAATGGTTGGCAAGTTCATAAAGGACCCATATTTTACTTTACAGAACTCTTTTCAGAAATGTAATAGATCTATTAGAACTCTTTTCAGAAATGTAATAGATCTATTAGGGGAAGTGTAAGCTTCGTCATTTTGCATGGCTTTTGTTCCGGCTAAGATTGCCCAGTTTTGAAAAAGCTCTTGTTTCAGCTTTCGACGTTTGGATATCTTAAGGACTTGAGACTGAAGCAGTTCCCTCTTAGGCTTTTGTACATTATGCTTTTGTTTTGCCATTTAAATGCTCCTTCTTAATGCTTCATTTTTCCCAATAAAATGTTCGGTCCTCCTCAAAAAAGTCACTAAAGTGCTTGGCTAATGTTCTTTGTACAGAGGCTTTTTCTTTTAAATGATCCTAATCTTTTAACGGTCATGTTTATTTTATCTGGAAAAACATGTATATTTGTCAGGAAAATGCCACTAAGATGCTCAAATAATGTTTAATGCTTTTGCCTTTCTAAAATGCTCGAAAAAATGTACTAAAGCCTGGTCTCTCTGCATCTGGCGACATTGTTTTCTCTCACTTTTCTTTTCTTTTCTTTTCCTTTTTTTACCGTGGTAGACGTTTTGTAGCAATGCAACTCAATGTAAATTTTCTAAGGAAAGAAGAAATGCTCCCAAAAATGATTGATAGCCTGCGAGTGACTAATAGGCAACCTCGCCGGCCATCTTATACAGTGGAGCCTCGATATAACGAAGGGCCAGGGCACTAGTATAATTTGTTCGCCATAACGAGGCCTATTCGTTATATCGAGGTTATTTTCCCGTATATTTTACCACTACTGGGGTGAGAAAAATTATTCATCATACCAAGGACTTCGTTATATAGAGGTTTTACAGTATATCATCGATCAGTTTATGTCAGAAAATGTGTAACGAATAAATGTTGTTTGATTATTGAGTGTGAAAACTGTGTTTTGATTTGTTTAGAAATGAATTATCTAGATCGGTTGTTCGTGTTGTGAAAGAGAGATGCAGCAAGACGGCTAAAGCTGCAATTGTCATAGTTAACTTTAGTTGACAACAACAACAAAAAATATGGGTAAGGTTGACTTTCTAGTCGTGAAAAGTGAATGCTCTCCAAAGTTTGGACACCTATTTCCTTTCGTTAAACAGTACAGACTGCAATGAAGCCACTTATCCGATCAGCTTAGCAACTGTCATTTTGTTTTCAGTGTTTTGGTCTAAAGAAAACAATATGTGCCAACATTTATAGTGCAAAACATCCCTTCAGCTTAGATTACTTAGCTAACTAGCCTATAAATTGTTATCTCTTTGATTTAATAAAATGTTTTGGAGTTTTGGTAATTGAATTGAAAGGATGGTATGGCTTACTGACACTGATGTAAGTGCAAAGTTATCATAAATCTGTTATATAGTTCAGTTCGTTGAAAAGGGATAATCGTTTTTCTTAGAGTTAGACTTTTAAAGTACGCTTATCAACATGTATACAGATTCAAACGAAATGTAAGACAAGGAACAATTCTAATTTGGACGATAGATCATTAACGGATAGTTTACACTGAAGACAATGAAGGTTGTTATCCAGAGCAATAAGTGTGCATATGGCGTTGATGCGGAGTACATAGAAACACATTAATGAAATTAAACCAATGCATTGACGGCCACTGTAAGGGAGCAAATTAAGGTCAAGAGAAGCCTCGCCTTATTCTTGTTGAACCAGTTCAAACTCTGCAGTATCGTTAATTTTTCATTGGAGTTCAAGGACTTATCTCCACCACTTAATTTGAAGACACAATCTCGTAAAAGAGAAAGAAAAAGGAAAACATTTTCAGAACATGACTGAGGGATCTATGTTCATGACATTTGTCAGTCTGTTACTCGGTACGGTTTGTTGATACGAAAAAAGTTCTCTTGCAGCAGATAGTCTTCATCAAATAGCAATTATCATCAGTTTGGTTGTATTTTTGCTGGTTTTGTTATGTTTTTAGGCAGAGGTTCGGTTTTCTCTTCTTCGCAAAATGAGCGACATCTCTAATAGCGCAACCTCGTCCTCAAGACTTCTCAGCCTCATAAGCCCCATTTACACCACAGAAAAAAAAATGGGTCCGGACCCATAGAAAAGTTGGTACGGACCAGATATTTTTGCCGCGTAAACTTTCCGTACCACGTTTTCATGAAACGGATCCGGACTCGATTTTTTCTGGCTTTTTGGCCATAGGCCGGACTATGGCCCCAAAACCGAAAAAAAAAAAAAAAACGAGTCCGGACACCTTTTGCTGTTCGAAAGCGCTGTTTAAACGCATCTTCGTTCCGTACCATGTTCTTCATGTGAGACTGCCGTGCTTTACGGTGGTTTCGCGCATGTGTACCATTGCCCTTTTAAATCATGAGCCTAACCTGATTGTTACCAGTGTAAACGGTTAAAAAAATGGTCAAGACCACTTTTTAATGGGTCCGGACCCGGTTTTTTCTGTAGTGTAAATAGGACTTCAGTTCGCATACACTTTTGCCGTTTTTTTTTTTACCTCGATTCGCAAATTCAGTACCTGACGCACTTCCTTGGCCAGCCCCACGTGTTCGCATTACCGCGATCTCCAGTATCAATTTGAAGATAAAATTACATAGAAACGAATAAACACGATCCAAGACAGGTCAAGTTTCAGACTCTTCAGACACTCTAGTCAGACTCTTCGCGGCATCGAAAGCTGTTGACCTTGAGACTTGCTTCCGCGTTCGAACACCGCTTTGCTTTATAGCAATTTTTCACGGACTAAGACATGTTGCCTCGACCAATCATTGCAATTACTTTGGTGGTAGCTTTTATTTCACAAGGTCAGTAGCGATTACATTGTACATCTAGTCTCACTAGTAGCTTCGACTGCAAGCTCCAAGCCCTATATATTTTTCTGTAGCATTCTTGTAAAACTCTTTCTTCACTCCAAACTAGCAACAGTAGGCACCAATGACTATTTTAATAAAACATTTTGTCCACGAGAAGAAGGGTTAAAAATGCAGGATCTTTATTTGCAGGAAAACCCGAAATCTTTCTGTTTCTATTTTCATAATCGCAAGCTTAAATCTGAACGCGCGTAATTACAGAAATGAACTTTGAGATTGTCACGGGTTTGGGAGTTGTGTCAAAACAGAAATTAATAAAAGCAGTGATTCATGCAATATATCAAGCATGAGACGCAGTATTTCATCACCAGATGAAACACTGAGAAGAGAGAAGAAAATACGACGCGCAACGGAGAATTTTTGACGAACTTCGAGGTGTTTTATCTGGTGATGAATCACTGTGTCAGGGGCACCCAACGAGAATATAGTTCAAAACCACTTAAACATAGCATTGTTGAACGTATTTGAGTATTTAAACGGTAGCTGTAGGCATATTTTTATCCCCTAAAAATTTTCATTTGTTCGGATTTCCAAGCTGAAAGTCTAGTGATCCGAAAATTATAGGGATCAAATTAAGTTACCTTTACGAAAATTTTAGCCAGAAAAAAGGCCCCCGAAAAATTCTAGGTGACCTTTTTAGGGTAAAAATCTGTTAAAAGGGGGCAATTATACCATTTTTTAGATGTTCGAAATTCCTAGGAGAGGCAGGCAAGTAAGAAATTGTGAATGTTCCGAAAATTCTAGATCTCAAATCGTCTTCCCAACGTGGGCGTGGCGTGGCGTGGTTCGATTTCGACATTATTGCAGATCTTGTCGATGAATGTCGTTAACAAGTTCCGTACACCGTCATGTCTCTGCGCTACAAACCCCCCCCCCCCTTTTTACAAGAGAGGGCGTGACTAACGGTGAATTTATCCCCACATATGCAATGACTTGGTAAATCGACTAAGGGCAAGTCATAACGCAAGCGTAGCGAGTCTCTGAACTCTTGCTTGTTGAGGGCTAAACCTTTGTCTGCGAGAGGCATCGCATTCAGCCAAGAACTTGCGCCCTTGTCCCTCGATTGATTAACCAGACGCAGCAGGCCTGGGGAGAGGCTTGAATCAATGCTATCCATTTTCTCTTTGGCACTTGCTCTCTTAAGTGATTGTTGATGCCTCTTTAGCTCCTCCGTAGATCTTTCTCCTGGCACCATGATGGAACTCTGTGAAGTAATGGAATCTACGTGCGCGGTGGTTATTAGTCTCGAGGCAGCAAACTGCTGCGGTGCTTCGGATTTCAGATCGGGAATGCCTAGACCCCCTTGACCCGTTGCTAAGGTAGCAAGTCTGCGCACCTCGTTAGGGAGAGGCTCTGATTGACCGAACAAAGTTGGGAGTAGTAGATCTTCAATCACTTCCTGGATTGGATCGACATAAACTTCAAACGATTCAATCGTGCGCATGAAGTAGGTGAACTTTGACTTGTAGCCTTTTGTGAAAGCAATATACGCCGCATGGGGCTGGCTCTTCGCTATTTCAGAGAGACGTTCGATTTCCTCTTTCCATGCACAAACCTTTTCCTCACAATACTGATCTTTGTATTTTTGCGACGCAGTAACTGCTCCCAGATGGCGCTGACCTTCAGTCGTTATGTTGACTTCCTCTCCAAACACCCTCTTTGTTTCCTCCGCGAGTTCCCTAGACTTCACAATAAGCCAGCTCTTTGTCCCATTCACAAGGTAACCAAACTTTTGACCTTCCTTACTCAATTGCCTGTACCATTTGTATAACTGCACTATACTCCCTCCTCCAGCTGAGTCGTCTGCAAGCCACACCTGTTTAACCAATGGGCAATGATCCCTCAAATTCTGTATCTTTATGGATGTATTAAGTGCGTACCATGGCATCGCTAGCGGATCTCCTTGTGTGGTGCCTTCTCGAGAAAGTATTTCACCTCCCCCACAAATAAACAGTCTAGATGGGCTTCTATATGTGTTAATAATATAGAGCGCCATTTCTTTGAACATGATCTGGATATTGTGTAAGGCCGCTGACCTATTCATTTGGTTAAAAGCGTTATTAGCATAAATTAGCAATATTCCATCTGTTCCAAAACGACCTTTAACGAAAAAACCGTTCTCGGATAAACTACTATGTTTTGATCGCATTTGATTATTTTTATAGAAAATGGGTAATATAAATATTAAATATTACTATACAGAAGAACCCCGTTTGAAGACGACATAGTTTTTGTTTTAGAAAGGCAAGATAGAGGGATCGAAGCTTCTCTTATTTTTGTGTGCGTCTTCACCGCGAGACTGACACACTTGTCAGGCTTAGTTGCTTTGTTAGATGTAGAACATATACATGTCTGCATAGTCACCTTCAAACTCAGTCAGTTGCATTACTCACCAGCATTTCTTTACTTGTACAGTGACGAGTCTTCATAAACTAGCACTCTCTTTGGTCGTGTTGGTTACAGCCTTGTGGATCGACGTAGCCAGAACTTGTTAGTTATTGTATTTAAGGCAATAAACAATTATCCACCTGAATATCTGAGCACCTATTTAGGTTAAGAGGCAACATCAAAAACCTGAGAGGGGTTAACAAGCTGCAAGTACCGAAACATAATACGACTCGTTATGGCAAGAACTCAGTAAAGTACTTGTCGGCTATTACTTGGTACAAGATTTCTGATACCTAAAGATCCCTAAGTACATTGTCAGCTTTTAAAAAAGCAGTCCGCCAGCTAAGGTTCTAGCTAATTCTCAGTAATATCTATATTCTATTTTATAGCGGAGCTTCACCCGCGCGCGAAACGCGCGCGTGGACGGAGCCCCATAGCTAAGGAAATGTGGTAATCTGCCCATCCGAGAAAATTTGGTAATCACGTGACCGTCCGTCCGCACCACAGGGAAACCAATGTTTACTGTTACACTTTCTAGCTAGTTTGGGAGCCCAAGAGAAAACTAATTGTACATTAATGTTGTGATCAATTGACAGCTGTCAAAACGGAATATCCGCTGACCAGTATCAGCTGACCGTACCGCGGGCTTAAATGTCGACCCACTGAGGTCGAGTACTTTTTTGAAGTTATCCGCTGACAAATAACCAGTTTTAAATGATCGCACAGCTCGCACTAGAAATGAGAACCGGCTGGCCGTATGGGTGATTTTGAAAATTTTTTGAATGGTTTCGCTAAAAGCCCACGATTGATCGTCCTAAACATTGACCGAGTGCAATTTGTCTTGAAAAATTGTGAGATACCGTCTTCTGTCCGAGGTCTGTATGATAAATAGTACTGTTTCACCTCAGATGTGATGTATAAAAAGTATAAAAGGTTGGTTTACACACCCTCAGATTTGATGGCAAGAATTTGTAAAGTAAAGCTGTCGAACGCAAAAAAATTCGGCCTGACTTGTTTTCCAAGAATTTGTTTTCGAGGCCTAATCTACTGTGATCAAGAGCCATTATGGAAGAAGATGTTTGCTCTTTTTTGGGTGTACATATATTTAGGCTATCAACTCGATGTAAGATTTTTCACTCTAAAATAACTTATCCTTTCCCTCAAAAGTCACATGAATGTGCCCTTAAGTTAACTGATTTGTGGATTACAAGTTTATTGTTTGATTTAAAATATAAATTTATTAATGGGAGCTTCGCTTTTAGCCCTGGCTAAATCTATATATTAAAATAACTAAAATAGTACGCGCGCTCTGATTGGCCGAGAGGCGTGTTTGCATGAGAGTATGTAAACATGGTTGTGACGCCAACTTGTTTGGCTTTCCGCGCGCTAATCACGCAAGCACGAATTTGAAAAAGGTTTTAAGTTGAAAAACTCGACATGTTGACTTTATTTACCCATTTCCTCGTCGGCTGAAACTTGGAAAATCTTTAGAAACATGCTGTGTCAATTTTTTTTCGCTTGAGCTGACATTTTAAGCGAGAAAAACCCGTATTTTGGAAAGCATCTTATTTGCAAGACAAAGACTTATTACGCGTACAAGCTTCGTGTACAAGACTTCGCGACTGGTAAGAATTTCTCTTTTAATCAATGCTCTTACCAAGAGCGTTTTGCTTTTTTTTCTCGGGAAAGTTATTTTATAAAAGCAATAGAAAACTTTTTTCCTGTGTTTGCATATCCTGATATAAACACTCAAAGGGGTTGGGAGAATTCTCGACAGTCATGCAAACCCTCGACTTCGTCTCGGGTTTACATAACTGTCTCGAATTCTCCCAACCCCTCTCGTGTTTATATCAGGCTATGCAAACACGGAAAACGTTTGCTATTGCTTAAATGTAATTAGGCTTTTTGAACGGCTATCTCACGTAATTTTAGGCTTTACACTGTATATAAGTTTTTGGATTTCCCTTTCTTCCTCTATTATTATACCGTAAAATTCCGAAAATAAGCCCCGGAGCTTATATTTTTCAATGGCCCTTTTTGAGGGGCTTATTTTTGGAGGGGCTTATGTACGGAGGGGAATTTGCGTTTCAAAATCGATTGGGCCAGCTTGTAGTGGGAAGGAAATTTACCATTTTTGCTTTGTTTTACTTTGTATTCGAGAGCAAACTCCATGTACAGGCCCCCCGGGGGGCGTATATTCGGAGGGGCGATTTAACGGAGGGTTTTTTGCGTTCCCATTTTGAGGGGCTTATATTTGGAGGGGCTTATACATGGAGGGACTTATTTTCGGAATTTTACAGTATTTATTTGTTTTATTTTCTCGGCTTATTAGCATATTTTT